GAATCTATGTTGTCTTAATCAGACTTTAAATTTATCTATATTTACTTTTTTCCCAGTGAAAAGATAGTCCTTATTAATGAACTAATGTTTAAGATTTAAGGCAGATTTTTGTCATACTATGCTCTAAAAATGGGCAGGATGGGGCTTAGGAGATAGCTCAGTGGTCTAAGTGCCTGCCTGGAAAGTGCAAGGATCTAGGTTTGATCCAGTACCACATGCCATACCAGCCCCTGGAACCCCAGGTATTCCATGCCAGCTACTGAAACTGGACATGGTAGCACACACCTGTAATCCCAGTGCTGGGGAGGCTGAGACAGGTGGATTACTATGAGTCTGAGATGCATAGTGAATTCCTGTACTAAATAAATAAATATTTTTTTAATTGGCAGGATGTAGAGGCACATGCCTATAATCTCAGCTCTCTGGGAGGCTGAAGCAGGAAGAACACAAGTTCAAGTCTAGCCTGGGCAATTTAGAGACTTAGAAAGGCCCTGTCTCAAAAATAAAAAGGACAGGGATGAAGGCCCTGGGTTCAATTCCCAGTACCACACAAAAGGGGTGTGGGGAATGGATCATATTTGGAAAGGCAATGGCAGCCTGGGACAGCATAGTCTGAGCTGTGCCTGACCTTGGTCAGGGTTTTTCATCTTCAAAGATTTCAGTGCTTCTACCTACAAAGGATGACAGGATGGGCCAGAGAAGCTCAGGTCTCCTAGGACTAGATTTGCTCATGGTGGAAGGTTGCATTTGGTCCCCAAAGTTGTAGGAATCTGAAGTCTGACACCTGACACTTTGAGACAGGTTACTAACCATGAGGCTATGTGCCGTCATGTGGGGGTGGGAGGCAAGGGGCGGAAGTAGATCTGTGAGCATTCATGCTGGGTGTTCTTGAAGAACAGAAGATCTGATAGACACTTCTGCTGAGGAGGGAAGGGCTGCAGCCCTGCAATCACGATGCTTCCAGTCAAATCCAGCCTTCTAGCTGTGACTGGAGACCTAGTGCTAGAGTCAGGCTTGTAAGGAAAAGGAATTAATACAGGGCACACAACTTATAGGATTCTGATATAATATTCACTCCAAGAGTCAAAAGCAAGAGTTCAGAGTCCACATGTTAAAGACCCAAAGAATCCACAGCAGTGTCCTGCTTAAGTCCAGCTGAAAACCTAGAGCCCACGTTAATACCCCCTATGAGTCCAGATGGAGGCCTAGAGCCCATGACAATGTCTCATGCAAGTCTTTATCAAGGATCTGTGCTGGGAAGAGCCACAAGTCAGTGGTGGATGCTAGAAAGTCCACCAGTGGGATGAAGGATCAAGGCCAGCAGGCTGAGGGATTGTACTACATCCAGAAAGCAACACTCAAGGTCAGAACAGAGCTCCTCCCAAAGACCACAGACATCCTCAGCAACAATGAGGTCCCAAGCTCCTCTGACAATAAGAGCCAAATTCATATCAGAAACACCAGTGCAGCCCACTTCTCCAGGAGGATCAGCAGCACATCCTCTCCCCCACCCCCAGTGCTCTCTTTGTGCTGCTGGCAACAATCCTCAGGTGGGTCTTTACACCCAGCACCACAGTGGTTCACTTCAGCTGGGTGTTACAAGTTGACTGCCAGGTGTCAGTTCACCACACTTAGACTCTAGGTTTTGGGTGGTTCTCAGTGCCTTAGTGTCCTTATAATTTTGTTGGAGGTACAAGGATCAAGGAAGGGAATCAGCAGAGCCGTCAGACAGGAAGCTTATCCTCAGGATTCCATTTACGGGCTTGGTGTCTTTCTTTTACAAAAATTAGAGTGCACACATACCTATGCAACCTTACTTCCATCTACAGTGTGTCATGGACATCTTCCTACAGCAGTGTGCATGTGGGAAGCTCACACTAGTACGTGGAAATTGCTCGTTAGCACAAATGTATAGAATTTATTCATCTGTATCATGGAAATGAAATTCAGAGGGGTGTGTGTGTGTGAGATGATTCTGGGGACTGAACCCAGGGCTCATGCCTGTGAGGCAAGCTCTACCACTGAAATATCTCTCTCTCTCTCTCTCTCTCTCTCTCTCTCTCTCTCTCTCTCTCTCTCTTTCTCTCTCCATTTCTTCCCACCCTTTTCTAAATTTTCACAGAGGATCTTGCTAACCACCTAGAGCTCCATACCCAATTTGTTTTAATTTTTTTCTAAAGCTACAAAAGGCAGATTCACAAAGGCAAATACACAGAGCCAGTCAGTCATACAGCTTAAGCCCAGGTCTCATGTCTCCCCCTTTGTAGTGTGTGACGTGCCAACGTGCCTGATCTGTGTGTGACGTTTCCTCATCGGGGACGTTGAGGAAAGCAGGGACAAGAGAGCTGTTGTGACAACTCCCTGCATAAAGGCACTACAAGCACTTATGATGCATATTTACTATCCTTCCTATTTATGTTCTTATTTCTAGTGGATAAATTTCAAGAAGAGGGTTTGGAGATCAAAGTTTGTATTCACTTTTTATTTTGCCAGACATCTTCAAAAATGCTGCTACACCCTCCCCCATAGCTTTTGTCAACTGTAGTTAGACTTAGGAGGTTGCTCAGCTTTACCTGCAATGACTTGCTAAGAATATTCTAAGTAGACCAGGTTGGCCTCAAACTCATGGTGATGCTCCAGCCTCAGTCTCCTACGCACTGGCATTGCAGGCTCACCACCATGCCTGGCTCTGTGCGCTTCTAATTAGACACAAGCACTTTGTTTTAACTTCATTGATGTGAAGATTGATCAGAAAGTGCAGGTGGTGATTGCAAACTGCCCACCTGTTACCAATAAGGAGGATAAAGAAATACAAAATTTAAAAAATATACATCACAACAAAGCACTCAACCAATTCAACAATGTGGATAATTCTGCAGGACAAATGACCCATATTTCAAAAAGTGCTACCAAAATGTAAAAGGGAGGAAGGGTGGTACTACAACAGCAAGAAGAAACATGGAAGCAACACTCAGGATTTGGAGGCAGATTTCTTTTATGTCAACAGAAACTGATCGGGATCATTCTGAGAATATTGGGCCCTGAGCTCCGGTGTTCTAGGGCTTATATGGAATAATCAAGCAGGAAGTACAGAGGCAGAATGGCTTGTCAATTGGGGACTGGTTTATACACTGTGCACCATGGTGACCAGCTATGTGTCCCAGTGACCAGCTGTTTGTAAGAGACAGGAGAGCTGGAACTGGAAGAGAAACTGTTGTCTGGGCAACTAACAAACAGGTGCACTGGTTGGGGGTTGCGGGAGGGCATTTTCTGTTACAGTACTGTAAAAGAGAATTAAAAGACATTGATTAAAGAGAATGTATGGAATTTTATTGGGTCCCGAATTAAATACAAAATCATATAGCCAGGCACAGTGGCACACTCCTGCAATCCTAGCATTCATTCTGAGAGGCTGAGGCAGGAGGATCACAAGTTTAACAACAAGTTTGACAGTTTGGCATCTTATCAAGACCTTGTCTCAAAATAAAAGAGAAAAAAGAACTTGGGATGTAGCTCAGTTCAAAGGCCCTGGGTTCAATCCCTGTTACCATACACCCATATACACACAGCAAAAAAAAAAAAAAAAAAAGGGGTGGGGTGGGGAGAGAAATAGGCATAAGCTAGAGCACTGAATTTTTTAAACTTAGATTGGCAGGCACCTCCTCAATAAGTTAAACAGATTTACTACGCGACTCAGCAGTTCTGCTCCTAGACTGTAACTCCAAGGCTTGAAACAGATGCTCACATACCTGTACGGAGATGTTCAAAGTGGCAGTCCAAACGTCCACCGACAGCTGAATGCATAAATACACTGAGTAGACTGGCTGGTATACTTGGCCTCAAACTCACGGTGATCAATGGAAAAGGCACAGCAAAATCACAGATGCTGAGATGATCCCTGAGAAGGATGGCCCCAGAAACATGCAGTTGTCCCCTGCTATACAGACATCACAACATTTGCTGGTCACCAGCAGATAGCTTCACCTGTGGTTTATACCTGGCTGACACAGCTCAACACTGGAGACCAGGCAACCATATTACACAAATCCTGGAATCCATAAACCCTTCTCCTATGGGGATAACCATGGATACTAATGGATATTTTTTTTTCTTTTTTTGCTACTAGGGTTTCAACATATTGCCTTTGCACTAAGCTACATCCCTAGCCTTTAAAAATACTTTTTTGAGATACAGTCTAACACACTAAATTGTCCAGGCTTAGCTCAAACTTTTGATCTCTCTGCCTCAGCCTCCCAGAGTGCTGTGATTACTGCTATGTACACCATCCAGCTGTGTGGAGTTACCTGCTGAAGGAAGGGATGCAAATCCTCAGTTCCTTGTCTCCAGTATTCCCTCTTGTGCTCCTGAGGCTGGGTCACTATATCCTGTTTTTCCCAGCTTCCCCATTATCAAGGCCCTGGATTCCAGTTAGGCTCAGCCAGTCAGAAGCACTGTATACAAGAAGGAAGGAAGAAAAGAGATGTCCCTGGGCTTTCAAACCCTGTGCTGGCAGCTCAAGCAGGAGACACTGGATTTCTTATAGCGCCAAAATGTTTCAAAACCCAAATGTCAAAAGTCTGCAGTATTCCTTTCGTTAGTACAAACAAAATGTACCAGAGGTACAAGCTATACCCAGCCTGTTACTGTTCCCAGCTTGTTCTCATATGTGTAAAGTGCCACTTGCTCACAAAGACCACCCTGCCCCCGCTACCTGACAAATGGTATAAACTAGCTCAGGGCTCAGAGCTTGGAGTCCTCAGCTCCTCTGAGCCTGGCAGTGTAATAAAGCTTGGTTTCCTCTAGTTTCCCAAGTGCTACTTGATTTCTTTGCCTCTGGTAAACCTGCAATTGCTGTCACACTGCTGTGCCTTGAGCTGTTTCTTCTCTGTCATGCCTCTCTGCCCTGTCCCACTGCCTTGGAACCAGCTGGCTATGGACTGAAACCTCTCCTCCTTTAACTTTCTGGTGTTGGGTATTTTGTCCTTGCGACAATAAAAATGACTAAGATACCCACCAAGACGAGCTTGTCTCTGCATGCTCTTTTCCTAAGCCAGCCTGGTGAGAATGGAAAACAGATGCAGCTTGTGCTGCTAGGGGAAGACTCCATATCAAACCCACCCCAGACGCATCAGTTGCTACCTGGGTACAGTGGATATTATGGCATTTGACTCTCCTGGGTCCCTTTGTTGTGGGTGCTGGTGAAAGGCACTGTCCTCATCTCACTCTAGATGTCAAAAGAGCCAAGAACTCCCTGCTTCCTGGCAGCTGGGAAATGTGCCCATGTCCTAGGCTGAGCCAGTCAAATGCTTCTGCCTGATAGGAAAAGATGCCAGAGCAAAGTGTCAACAAAGAAAAGGTCCTGACAGTGGCAGCTGGCCTCCAGCAGCAGGCCTGTTATAGGACATTAGCAGGGCACAGCCAGATGGTGGTCCCAACTCCACAGTTTCTTGGGTAGAACTGTACTATACCCCCACTGACCAACCCGCCTTGGATATAGCTCCATCTGCATTGTTTGAGTGAGCTGCTCAACTCCTTTGGAATTACTTTTCTTATGTAGTCCAGATTAGGTTTCCTCTTGGCATCTAAAACTTCAGCCAGGGGCCAGGGAGATGGCTCAGTGGAATAAGTGCTTCCCTGGCAAGCACAAGGGCCTGAGTTCAATCCCTGGTTCCATCAAAAAAATAAAAAATAAAATAAAACTTCAGCCTAATTCAGGAGAATGACTGCCTGCTTAGGAGAGCAATACCCACCACCCCCATGTGCCCCATCATTCTATTTCTGCTTCCTTCATATGCACCTTCAGCAGCCCACCATGAATTTGTGGGTATTCTTGAACAGGTGACCACATTCCATACTAGAAAACTTCTGTTAGCGTGGTGATTTGCCTAAATTATGCCTCAGGGCCTCTGTGTCTCCTGGCCTTCCTGGGGTGTTGGAGGTATCAAGAATTGGCTTTGGCTGCTAATAAGCATGTCTTTTGGTCTAGCATACCACCCTAGCGTTTAATCTCACTTTAATGAGGTGAGCAAGTAGCACCTAGTGGGCTGCAGTCCCCAAGCCATATGCCGAGGTGTGCCGCTCCCTGGAACCTCAGTGCCCAGTTACAGTGGGCAGTGCCCCTTTCCATTTGTGGCCCCCAGCATGGGAAAAGGACAGAAATAATGACACAGATCAATACAAGTGTCTCCACACTTAATTAACAGGAAATACAGGAGGAGACCAAGAAAAACTAGAATGGAAATTACCACAGGTAATAGAATAGCACTGCCCGAAGAACCACAGAATGAAAGGGCTCCTCAGGGCTCAGCAGGATGAAGAGCTGTCTCGATGGATCTTCTTGAAAATCCACAACAGGAGAGAAGATTGTAAAAATTTCTGAGAGTGGACAAAATCAGTCAACTGTAGCAGAACAAGAATAAAACTTTCTTCTTCACATTCTTTGTTAGCAATGTGTTAGGGAAATTATCTTTTTATTTTGTAATTTCTTATGAAAACCTTCAAACATGTATTAAGCGGAAGGAACAATATATGAAATCCTTTGTATCCATCTCCTAAGAATTGACAGTTTAGCTGGATCCCAGCACTTTAGGAGGCTGGGACAGGAGTTTATGCCCAGCCGGAGTAACTTAGCCATTTGGGAGACCCTATCTCAATATAAAAAATGAAAAAGAAAAAGGGATGTGCAAGTAGCTCAGTGTGAAGGTCCTCAGTTCAATCCCTAGCACTGGAAAAATAACAGACAACTTGTAGCCAAATCTACTTTATCTACATCCTGCTTAGCACTCCCTTGGGCCTCTGTTATTTTGAGACAAATTCCAAACATCCTATCATGCATCATTTTGTTCTTGCTAATGTTTCTTCTCTGTCTCTGTCTCTGTCTCTCTCTCCCCCCTATCCTCCCCCATCCATCATCCATCATCCCTGGGAGCCTCCACCATGTGATGACCAAGCCATGTGGTCACAGTGCTCCTGAACCCGCCTTCATACCGGCCCAGGTGAGCAAGCTTCAGTCTCCAAATCCCAGTCCCTTCCCAGGGTGTGCAGCTCCCTGGAAGCCTCAGTGTCCAGCTACAGTGAGCAGTGCCTCTGCCAACCTGATTACCAAGCAAAGTAAGGAGCAGAGTTCAGTCAGAAAGCTCATTTTTCCACTCTTTATTATTAAAGCTAAGTCCTCCTCCTGACAGATCCAGGACAGGACAGAAGCAGCTGGGGTCCAAGAGGGTCAGGAATGAATGCTGCCAGGGATGGGCCATGTAGGGCAATGCCCAAGATACTCCAAGCCACCCAGCTGCCCCAGCCTTTGGTCCTTTCAGAGGCTTGTGACCCAGAAAACATAAGGGGAGACACCTGAGACAGAGGCCAGGGCCCAGTGCTCCTGATGCCTCCCTGGGTCCCCCTGCCTTCCTCACCAGCCCATCCTACAACCTCCATGCCAGGCTAGTTCTCACTGCCTGGGTAGTCCTCCCACCCATCACTACCTCACCTGCTACCCCACCCAGCCCCTAGCAGCCTGGCTGCTGGCCCTCACCCCCCAAGGCCATATCTACACTAAAATGGAAAAACTAGGTCTAAGAGCAAATGCAGGTGCTTCAACATCTCAGTTCTCTGATCCAGCCCGAAAAGCAAGAAGGGAGGGGGCTTCACATGAGCCATGCCCTAGCTCACTGATGGTAAACCTTTTAGTTTCCAAGCAGCCAGCTGTGCCATGTGTGCCATAGGCTCGCCACCACTGCCATAGCTACTGCTACTGGCTAGTGGCTCCCAATAGTCTTATCTAGAGATGGGATGGCCACCCACAGGGATCTTACATAATTAGATGTTATGAGCTCAGATCCCCACCCCTCCAGCCACTGTGGGAACTGCCAGGTCCTCAGTGCCACCACTAACCCTCGTGAATGGGCATTTAGACAGAAACACTGCTTGCTGTTTAATGATGTGTAGAATAATGGCAGTAGAGTTAAAGGGACCTGTGGAGGTTCTTGGGCACTTATCACAGGATGTGGGGAAAGATCTGTGGACCAACCCCAGTGCTTTATGTCACCTGAGCAGCAGACTCAGGAGGGCAGGGTTCCATGTGACCACCTACTCTGGGAGAGGCAGCAGCCCAGGAGACCAGTCTGTATGTAGATAGGGCACCGCCATGATTCCTGAACGTGCTACATCCAACTGACAGAGGTGGGGGGAAGGGACAAAAAGCGACCCTGCTAGCTAGACCTGCCCCAACTTAGTGCTGAGGGAAAGGGGCAGGGAGAATATGAGGCCAAAGAATAGGGGTTCAAACTATCCCTGTGGACCCTGCTGATACCCCAATCCATTCACCCGGGCCACAGATTTGGTTTCTGGCTTTTTCTCCTCCTCCTCTTCCTCCCTCACATTCTTTAGGCCTTATAAGAGATGGAAATAAATATCCACAGTCGACAGAATAAAAGCTTTCCCATTCCCACCTCTATCTCCCGGGATACGGAGGAACTGTGCCCTTCGGAAACCTACACAGCTCTCCCTCACAAACAGCAGTTCTTACAACTTCGCAGACACTCTCCAATGCCCCGCAGATCCCTGAACCTCTCACTGATGAATGGGAAGAACTCATTGGCCAGACCCACAAGTGATCCAGACATCAGCGCTGACCCACCCGAACAACTGGTTGCTCTACTGCCATCACCCCACCCTCCCCTCGCCGTCGAACCTGGCTGCATACTCCTAAATTGCTTGTTATCTGGGCCACCTGAATTGAAATCCGAATAAAATAAATAGCCTCGTCCACCATCTCAACCGCTCTGCTTTGCAGGTCGGACCCAGGGATGTTGCAGTCTAGGTAGGTGAAGGGTAACAGCCCTAACCTGGCTGCCCAGGTGTTCTGCTCTCCAGCGTGCTCCCCACAACACCTCAAGAACTGGGGCCCAGCAGGAGGGGTTCCCGAAGCCTGGGGAGGGGCAGGAGGCAGTGCATCGGGGAAGGCACCGCGCCCAGGACGGGGATCCTCAACGCGTGGAGACCAGAGGAGAAAGGCACGGGGCCGGTGGCCTAGCTCTCCTCATAGGTGGCCGAAGGCCCTGCAAACGCAGCCTCGGAGCCAAAGCTCGTGCCGCCCGCGAACTCCAGCAGCGTACTCCCGAGCTCCCCAGACACCGACCCTGCACTCAGCTGCCCCCTAGCGGGCACTTCGGCCTTCGCCGCAGGAGTCGCTGCCGCCCCTGCCTGCCCAGCTGAGCCAGCCGCGCCGCGGTGCGTCTTCATGTGCGTAAGCAGGTGCGAGCTCTGCGAGAAGCGGCGGCCGCAGTGCGCGCACGCGTAGGGCCGTTCTCCGGTGTGCGTGCGCTGGTGCGTCACGAGCACTGAGCGCTGTGAGAAACGCTTGCCGCACTCGGGGCAAGGGAAGGGCCGCTCGCCTGTGTGGCCGCGCCGATGTTTGGCCAGGTTAGACCGCTGCGCGAAGCCGCGGCCGCAGTCGGCGCAGCGGAAGGGCTTCTCGCCCGTGTGTGTGCGCCGATGCCTCTTGAAGTCCGAGCTGTGACCGAAGCCCTTACCGCAGTCGGGACAGCGGTGCGGCTTCTCCTCGGCATGCGCCCATTGGTGCCGCGTCAGCGCCGCGCTCTGCCCAAAGCGGCGGCCACATTCCCCGCACGCGTATGGCCGCTCGCCCGTGTGCGCGCGCCCGTGCGCTGTCAGGTGCGCGCGGCGGCTAAAGCCTGCGCCGCACACACCGCACACGAACGGCTTCTCGCCGGTGTGGCCGCGCACGTGCGCCGCCAGGTGCGAGCCGCGAGCAAAGCGTGCACCGCACTCAGGGCACGGGAAGGGGCGCTCTCCCGTGTGCGTGCGCCGGTGGCGCGCCAGGTGCGAGCCGTATACGAAGCTCTTGCCGCAGTCGGCACAGCGGTGGGGCCGCTCGCCGGCGTGATAGCGCTGATGCTTGGCCAGCGCGGCGCGGCGCCCAAAGGTCTTGCCGCAGTCCGAGCAAATCCACGGGCTCTCCTCCTCGGCCAGTGCGGCTGGCGCCGGCTCGGCCAGCAAGCCCCCAACAGCGGGCGCGAATACGCGCAGCCCCAAGCCAGCCCCAGCCCCACTCCCGCCGAATGGGTCCCGGGCCAGTCCCGTGCTCTCTGCCAGCGCGAGGGGGGCCCCCAGTGGTCCTGGCAGGGTGCGCCCGTCGGTTGACAGACGCTCCCCAAAGTCAGGAAGGCCCAGGATCTGAAAGCCCTCCGGGTGCAGCCAGGACTTGGGGTGCACAGGAAAGTGGAAGCCGAGAGGGTGCGAAGAGGGGCCTTCACCTTCGCCCAAGCCATTGTCCATCTCCAGGAACCGTCTGCTCGACTCAGAGTCCTTCTTGCTCTCAGAGGCGGGCACCTCTGCAGCTGCCATCTCCTCCCTCACTTCAGCCTCAGGGTCCCCTTCCGTGTCGACCTCCGGCTCTTCGGGTTCCTGGGGTGTGGTCTCAGGCTCCCCTGGCCCCGGTGCAGGGGCTGCCTCGCAGGGCTCCCGCCGTGGGCCATCGCCGCCGGGTTCCGCGCAGCTACCGCTGCGCCGATGGCGTTGGAAGTCAGCACGCAAGCGAAAGGCCTGGCCACAGTCGGGACAGCAGTGCGGCCGGTCAGCAGTATGCACGGCCTGGTGCCGCGCAAGAGCAGAACTCTGGCTGAAGCTGCGGCCGCAGTGCGTGCATGGGTAGGGCCGCTCACCTGTGTGCGTGCGCTGGTGCGTGACAAGGTAGGAGCGGCGCCCAAAGCCGGCACCACAGAAAGCGCAACGATAGGGCCGCTCGCCCGTGTGGATACGCCGGTGCGTGACCAGGTGCGACTTGTAAACGAAGCGCTTGCCGCAGTCCGGGCACGGAAAGGGCTTCTCGCCCGTGTGCGTGCGCTGGTGGATAGCCAGGTGCGAGCGGTACACAAAACCCTTGCCACACTCTTCGCAGCCAAAAGGTTTGACCGCTGCGTGGTAGCGCTGGTGCTTGGCTAGACGCGACCGGTGTGGGAACACTTTGCCACACACGTCACATGTAGTCTCCGGCCGCCCAGTCGATGCAGCCACTGGAGTGGGGTAGGCCCAGGGTGCCACCAGGTTTGTGCCTGGCTCCTGGCCAGGCAGAAAAGACTTTGCCTCAGACTCCTCAGCCAGGACCCCAAGGTTGCCAGAGTCAGAGCCCCAGCCCTCTGGAGTCTGTGCAGAATCCGAGTCATCGGGGCCCCATGTCCCTGGCACATCCCCCACACCATAGGCCGCAGACCACAACCCTGGGGGTTCATTTTCCTCTTCAGCCATCTCTGCCAGGAAGTCCTCATCATCTTCCTCCTCGTGGTCCTCCATGTCATCGGTCCAATACCAGGCTCCTGAAGGCCAGAAGACAGAGATGAGTGGATGAGAGCCCACAGCAGGCACTGCCCAGAGAACTGCCCTTCCTGGCAGACATAGCCAGGTATCTCTACTCACTGAGCCAAGAAGCTATCCATGCTCCACCTCAGATCTAGGACAGGAAAGCCCTGGCCTCCCCCTAGGGACTTAAGGGTATGCTCATCTTGGGGCCTTAAGAGGCTCGAGTTGACCCTAAGTCCTTCAGGGCATGCCACCCTATGCAACTGCAAAGTGGGGGAACATGCCTGCAGACTCCTGTGAGTCAAAAGGCTAAGCTGTAACTTGGGTCCTGTGCCCGGAACATGAGGACACTTCTCCTGCCTGACAGCTGGCGGAGGGCAGCCCAGTCCACAGCCTCTGCCTCTCCCTCTTGGGTCTTAACCAGGGGCCACAGGCTCCCTCTTCCTCAACTGGCAGACCGAAAAAGTCTGGCATGGAAGGGCTGATGCCTGTACCTCCTGTTCTCAGCTTACCAAGCCCCAGTAGCTGTGCACTCAGGTTTTTGGCTCTCCTTTCCTTTGAGAGCCCAGAGTTCACTGCTAGGGCCTCTTAAGCTGTTCTCCACTTGAAAACCTCAAGCTAGCTGAGACTGTGGGTCTACTGGGACTGTCCCAAGTTTCAGCTATGTGTCCCTCCACTGAGCTACATCCGACATCCCTTTTGCCGTTGAGGAGGTGTACAGTATGGAAGAGTATAACGCTTGGAGTCAGGCCTATAGGTCTCTTCCTCATGAGATGAACATACATCCTAACACCATGTGACAATGGGTGTACGGAGCAGACATTCAGGAACATGGGAGCTGCTCAGCCTGCAGGAGCTTCACTTGTTCAGAGTACCTTCATACCTGCTCTCTCCTCTTCCACAGATCCCAAGCCCAAGCTTCCATTTCAGAGACAGGAAACTCCTCCCACCTTAATTAGGGCCAAGCCTGTGGCCTGATTTAGCTATCACCTGGCTGGGTGAGCCTGGACCACTGAGTCCCAGCCTCAGGGGAGAGTTACAGAAGCCTGGGCTGGCCCCTTCTGTCAGTGCTGTGCCTCCCAGGTCCTTTTTTTTTTTTTTTCTTTTTTATAGATAGTCCCTATATTGACAGAATTGCCTGAGAAAACAGTCCAGTGCCGAGTGAAGCCAGACAGATCAGCATAGGCCTGGCTGTGGCTATGAAAAAACACTCATCCATCACCCAGAAGGACAAGAAAATGGCTGTTTTATTTTTTTACATTTTGTTTTCTATAGTTTGTAATGTTATACTATTATAATAAAAGCTTTAAAATTTTGTTAAGCTGAGTAACACCAACTGCCATCTATAGCCACCTGCATGATGAGAAGTAGCAGACCCCTCTGAGGGTCAAAGAAAAGGCTCCTCCCTGGATACCCTGTTTGGCCCAAATTCTCCCCAAATGTTGGCACACCCCTCAGGGCAGTGAGGAGCTGTTAGAGGGATGGGTAGTCTAGGCTCAGGGTCAGATCAAACGCTCTTAGGCTGAGTCAGGGATATAGCTCAGTGGCACAGTGCTTGCCTGACAAGTGCACGGTCCTGAGTTCAATTCCCATACCCAAAAAAAGAAAAAGAAAAAGGTTCTTAGGCTGTCTTCGATGAGTCTTAGCACTCCCTAAGGTAGGGGAAACTCACAGGCACATGAATTTCCTAGCAGGTTTCTGACAGGGTCAGTCTGTGTCCCTCAGGACTTAGTCAAGGATAAGTGACCATTTGATGTATCTATTGCTTCAAAGAGCTGCACACCAGGCCCACTTGAGACCTGGCACAGACATCTCCACTGGACCTCACCACCTCTCCACCTCCACCCAGCAGCAGAAAGCCAGGTCTCATGGGCAGGTTGTTCTTACTGTGCCCCAGAGAGCTCTGCAGAGTGGACCAATCTTGACAGATACCAGAAAGCCTCAGCCTCAGCCCTGAAGGTGGCACAGCCACCTGTCCAAAAACAAGGACAAGTGTTAAGCTGTAACTACACATGCAGAAAAGTGACACAAACCACTGCTGACACCCAGGGAGGGAAAGGAAGGGTATTAAGTCCTGGGGAAGTCAGAACTAGCTGCATCCCAAGATGAAACTCTGGAAGTATTGGGCCACTGAGAGGGGGCCCAGGGGATACTTGGGGGCAGCTTATCCCAAGGCCATGTTCTGTTCTCTTGTCTTTGCTGCCAAAATGGCCCAAGGTCTGTAGGTATGGTCCCTGAGGTGGGACATCCTGTGTAACAGCCACTCCAGGGACAGGGCTCCTAGGAAGGCTGCTGGATCTCAGATCCAAAAACCTTTTTTTGGATCCAGGTGAAGAGTTATTAGCTCTACTCATCAGAGCCCAGCTGGGAGCAGACAGGATATTCATATCAGGAGGAGGTGCGGGCTGTGTCTCAACAGCAGGAAAAGAGTGGTCCCAAATGTCAAACACAATCACTTCATGTAGAACAGGGAGGGATGGGCTGGGGAGATAGCTCAGAAGTCTGAGCGCCTGCCTGGCCCTGGTACCACACACTATGCTGGTCCTGGAACCTTGGGTGCACCTTGTGGCCCTCAAATTGGGCATGGTGGCACATACCTGTAACCCCAGCACTGGGGAGGCTGACACAGGAGGATCGCTATGAATCTGAGCTGCATAGCAAGACCCTATACCAAATGAATGAATGAGTGAATGAATGAATGAACAAACAAACAAATGAACAGATTGGGAACACACCCTGGAGATGGGCCTGGCATTTGCTTCAAGGACTTAATCTTGTCAGTGATCAGTAAGGCCTCTGGGAAGATCCAGAGGGACTATAGGGAGTTAGGGATAAAATGCAAAGGCAAATCAGGGGCCTATGCTCAGCTATCTAGGGAGAGAGAACCTTTCCAGGTTCAGCCATGAGGACGCTTAAGATGCTGAGGATACTGAGATCCCAGGGAAACGGGCATATGCACATAGTGCAGGGGTAAGTGAACAAGAGCTGGTGAAGGGAAAGTCCAAAGGCCTCCTTGGCAGGCTGGTGCCATGGTAACAAACTACACACTTCACACGGCCACAGTGATTTCTCCTGCCTTAAGTGCTGACATCTAGCCACAGCTGTTTTCCGAAGTAGTACTGCTTGGCAGTGGTGGTCTCTGAAGGTCTCCCCTTCAATATTGAGCTCTTACAGATCTTGGTATCACCCACTAGACCTCTGTGCTCCATGCCAGTAGTTCTCCTAAAAGCTGATCCTGCTCAGCTCATTTCTGCAAGGGCCAGGGTGGTCTCTTTACCACCTCTCTCTTGGCTTACTCTCCAGGACAACTCAAGGGCATAGGCTTGGCTGGGGTCTCAACTCCACCTCTACTACTTACTGGCCATTAGACCTTGGATAAGTCATTTATTGTCAGCTTCCCCATCAGTAAAATGATTTATAGTAGCACCTGAAATCTCACTTTGTGCACCTGCTTCAAGGAATAAATAAGTGGTCAGAAAGTACCTACAATGGTGCTACCAAAATATTCCTATCACTATGGAAACCAAGTTCTATGTATCACTATAGATTCCCCAAGACTTCCCCTTGCTGTTTATCCTTTGTACTACTTCTTTTGTTCACTCTGTTGTGTCTCAATTATCATAACAGGCTGTGTCACTTTCCTACTGTCAGGTTCATGTGGCCACAGATCCCTACTAACAGCCTTTTCTCTGGGAGGCTGGATCCCAGTTCCTAATTCTAGACAGGCTACTAACCAGCCCTGTGTCTCTGGACAAGAAGTGAGTGAGGACTAGCCATCATGGTGCTGCTTAGTTGCCAGAACTCGGTGCAGAGTCAGGGCTCCCTAAGACAGGCCCTTTAGCCTAGAGGTTCCTTAAGATAGTAAGGTGGTCCTCCATGTCACCCAGAAGGCCACAAGCACAAGAGCCTCTTCTGCTTCTCTCTAGGTCCTTCCTGGTTTATCTATGCAGAAAGTCACCCACCTAATGCTGTTAGATGGTGGCCCTGACAGCAGAGCCCCCAGATACCTCTAAGTGCCCACACCTGGACATAGGGTGGAATGATGCTAGCTCAGCTGCTATGGGGTGGCTCAGGGCTACTGAATAAATCCCAAAGCCATCAATTTCACGACCTGCCCTGTAGGCCCAAGGTGGCCTGGGCCTCAAGGTGAGTCTGAGCTGTGGGTTTTCCTCTTTGACAATCTCTCCTGACTTCTCTGAGTAAGATCAGCACTTGCCCTAGTGCTCATGACTCTCCACCAGCCAAACTACTGAATCCAGGCACAGTAGTTGCCCACCACTGGGTTATGTCACTTTTGTCCCCTTCTACCTGCACCAAGCCTTAAAGTCTAGGGCAAAACAAGACCCAAACTCTGTCTTCTGGCTAGGACTAAAACAGCTAGATTCAGTGGCAGCCATGCCCCAGCAGGGTACCTTAGTCTTCTGAGGTCTTCCAGGTACTCACAGATGCATACAGAGGTAGCAGAACCCTCAGCAGGCTGGTGCCACCAGGGCCTGCTGGGGGATGGGGGACATCAGCTGCACTCACTTGCTGATCGCAGTTTCTCTCGCCTCATTGTGTCTCCACTTCTACTGCCTTTTAAATCCCCTTCTTTGTTCTTTCCCATTTGATTTTTAAGCTGTATTAGTCCTGGGCACTGTGTCTCTCCTCTTTAAGCAGGGCAGGAGCAACACCAAGTGGACAAGGGTCTCTGGCCAGCCCTCTGGAGCTGCCCCTGCAGGGCTGGCTCAGTTCTAGCACAGCACCTGCAAACTGTGGAAGCTGCCACCAAGTTAGACACCAGAAAAACCTCAGAAAATGAGAACTAAAGCCAAAGGGGTCAAAGAACATGCAACAAAAGGGGGGCCTAAGAACTGAGCCAGCCAGTTAAAGGGTGCTCAAGCTCCCAGCAGAAGAGACCATGGGAACAAAGTCCCAGAGGCCAGCAAGGGTTCACAGACAAAGGATATCTGTGGAGTAGAGTCTGAGAGGGTATGGAGGACCCTGGAGGGGTGGCAGACCTCATGACTTTGTGGAGAGTTCAGCTACCATTTCATATACTTGAGGATAAACTTCCCTTTTAGTTGCCTCTGATAGGTAAGGTGGCCAGCAGCTTAGGGGCACTGGTAGCCACACACCTGCCAGCCTAGGCCATGAGCGGAGAAGGAAGCAAAATGACTGGGACTACTGGGGCACTCTGGGAATCTGCAGGGTGGACCCATAGCACATACACTTTAAGTCCTGTTGCATGTCAGAGACTAAGCAGAGGCCAGATGGACAGACAAGATCAGGGATAGACAGTCTGGAAACAAAGGCAGAGAGAATAGGTGGTACTTAAGGTTATTTAGGGAGAGGAGGAAAGGATGCAGAGCTTCCCAGGGGAAAGAGAACAGGTACAGGTAGGTGTATTCAGTGGCCAGGATATAGCAACCAGGAGGCATCAGGGAAACTAGTCTCAGTGAGCAAGAAAGCCAACTCTGCGTGGACATACGGCCACCCCACAGGGCCCAGATACACTCCCGTATGAGGCCTGCATGGACAGTTTCTCCAGCACTGTTCTCTGCTCCGGTGCAGAAACGGGGCTCGAGCAGCAATCTCTCCACTGACTACACTGAGCATTCCCAAAGAGCAAGGAAACTCCAATCTAAGCCAGGTAAGAAGGGTAGGCAGGGTACAGTGGCACACACTTATATATCCAGCACTGTGGAAAGCTGAGACAGGAAGCTCAAAAGTTTAAGCCCAGCCTGGGCAACTTACCAAGACCCTGTCTCAATGGTTTTTTTTTAAGATTAAAAATAAGGCTGGGGATATAGCTCAGTGGTACAGCTCTTACTTAACATGTAGATGGTCCTGGGTTCAATCCCTAGCACCCCAAAGGAGGGAGGGGAATGAAAAGCTGGAGGCAATAAGGGAAGGGTCCCAGAGCTCAAGGACAAGCAGGGGCTCTGAATAGTACTTGGAAGGAGATGGCGCCTAAGTGGGAGATGTGGCCCAACTCACCAAGGAGTACAGCTGAGTAAACCAGCACTGCGTCTTGCAGGACTATTACCTACAAATGCAAAATGTCATCCTGGCACAGTCAGCATCCACCCTGCCCACACCCAGCAACTCTCCTTTCTTAACCAGTTTGGTCAAACAGAATAGATGCAGGAGATGGCTATTCAACCACTGCTGTCATCATAGTTCAGGCTCTTTTACCCTGCCTGAGCTGTCCCCAGCCTTTGTCACCACATGGTACATCCCCTCTAAGCAGGCACATGGCACATCAAAAGTTGCCAGGGTCTTGCCCTATTGACAACTCTGTAGACAGAACTGGGTCAGGGGCCACTAAGGCCCAACAACCCTAATACTATGACTTGCCACAGAAGAAAATAGAGGGCCAGCCCTCCAAGGGAGCCCCCAAAGTCTAAGTATGTGCACAGGTGACACGGTGCATGTCACTTGCACTAAAAGGAGACCCGGACCATCCAGCTTGAGGTGCACAAGACCCTCCAAGAGGCATGGAGAAGAGGGGCACATCTAGACCTCAGACTAAGACACTGACCAGCCCTGGCCTGTCTCCCCTTCTCCTCCATGTGGCTTTCTTGAATGTGTCTGTGAACATACACTTCTCACCAATATCCACAGAGAAACACCACATACAGTGTACAATACAGGTGAATATAAAGTACATGTACAGGAATATTTTTCATTTTGTTTTGGGTCTCTGAGGCAAGATTTCACCTGTTGCACAGACTGGCCTCAAACTCCCAGCTCTCCTTGTTTACCCTCACAGGTGCAGGCCTGCGCTACTACACTCAGCTACAGCTTTCTTTTAAAAGTCCCTTTCAGCTGATGTCACTCCAGCCCCAGCCAAAGATACTTGTGAGCCATGAGTTTCCTCAACAATCTGAAACCTGAGCATGACCTACAGACTCCTGAGCATTTCAACTCAGCATGGGCCAATGTGGTCCAATCGGAAACCATGGGTTTAGTTCAAATTACTTCAAAATTATCTGGACATGGTAGCGCATGCCTGTAATCCCAGCACTCAGAAGGCTGAAGAAAGAGGATCATTGTGAGTTTGAGACCAGCCTGGGCTACAAAGTGAGCTCAAAGCCAGCCTGAACTGTATAGTAAGACCCTGTCTCAAAAAGACATACAAAACAAAACAAAATTACTTCAAATTCTTTTCTTTTGCTTCTTCTCTTCCTTCTTCTCTTCTTCTTCCTTCCCCTTCCCCTCTCCTCTTCCTCTTCTGTTTCTTCTGTTTTTGTTTTTGTTTTTTGTTTTTTGCAGTACTGGGGATTCACCCCAGGGTCTTCTTGCAGAGCTACGTCTCTGGCCCTTTTTACTTTTTATTTTGAGACAGGGTCTCATAAAGTCACTATGTAGCCCAGAGTGAGTTTGAACTTGTGCTCCTCTTGCCTCAGCATCCCAGGGCACTGGGTCTTATAGGCACACATTAGTTCAAATTCATTGTCCAAATGAATAAAGCAGGCCTCAGACAAGTGAAGGAAGAGAGCCAGAACTAGTTCCAAGAACTGCATAGAAATTTGCCACACCAAATGTCTGTACATTCCAAAATCCTTTCTCCAAAAAACTCCAACTATCCACCTGGGTCAGAGGCCTGCCCATGGCCTTCTGGGAAAGACTGCCAAGGCTGAAGAAGACTGTTTTGCACAAATGGTCAAGTGGGTAGAAAAGCCAGAGGACTGCTGAAGCCTCACCAACAATCTGCTAGGCTCCTTGGGCCTGGGCGCAGCTCTGAGCCAACAACTTGACAACTATCTTCATTTACAAAAAGAAATCACCAGCTCCAAGGCAGGGATAGGGAAACATTTTAAGGTTTTCAAAGGGCTTTCCACCCCTAGAGTTAGACCAAGACGACCCAAGAGGCAGAGGCAGAAGCTAGCACACAGATCTGACACTCACCTGTGTAGACGCCAGTGACAATGTCTCCCTCCTCAGGATGAGGGCTGTCTGGGACCCAAGGCTCTTCCCCATGTTCCAGGCGGAAGATCAAATCTGGCTTGGGGACTGGGTATCCTGCCCAGGAGAGGAACAGATGGTGGCTGTCAGAGGACCCTGTGCTGTCCCTTGCAGGCTCAGATCCTTTCCTCCTTCCCATCCTCCCCACCTTGCTCTGCTCTAGGAGATTCTACATCCCTTCCCTCGGGTATAGCCCTCCCCTTCTGGGGCCAGATGTGCCTCAGCCTGCCCCACAGGGAAGCTCAGAGCCAAGAGTGGGATCAGCAGCGCCACAGCACAAATCCACCTGGTTCAGATACCCTCCAGCCCCACTGACAGGCTGGGATGGTCTTAGGGCTTCCCTGGGAGTGGGTGCCTGATTCAGAGGCTCCAAAGGCCTACTCTCAGACAACTAAGTTCTGAAGGCTACCTCTCAGGGACAGAAGGCCCTTCCTTACCCAAGGACACCAGGATCCCATAGTTCTCCTGCATCACATCCTGGTAGAGGCCACGCTGGTCTGCATCCAGCCTTTCCCACTCTTCCAGGGAGAAGTACACAGCCACATCTTCAAAAGTCACCAGCCCCTAGAAAGCACAGTGCCCCAGACACTGCCCTTAGCTGCCCTGTGTGAGAGGCTGAGTACATACAAAGCCATGCAATGCAATCAGAGAAACTATGCTGAGGCCCTACAGTGGAGGTCCCAGTGGGACACAGCCTAGTACCATTATCAACATCTACAGAGGGCTTTCATGCTTTTACCTATCCCTGAAGGCAGGACCTGCTTTTATCCAGAGACCAGAAACTCAAACTCAGAGAAAGTAAACAACCCTGCTTTTAAGGGACAGAGACAAGACTCTTACAGAGGGCAGGAGACAATGACATGCCAAGTCCAATGGTCTCTCCTACTTCACATGGTCTGGGCCAAGCAAATGCTGGGGCCACCTTAGCAGCCAACTGAGTATGGGCACTGGTTCCCCATCTGACTGGGAATCATAGCCATTGTAGGTGAGGAGTGCAGAGTGACTTTATGGGACAGCCAGCCCTCTGACATCTTTATGCATTATGCAGGTAAGTGGAGTGGCAGCCAAAAATTCAAAACAAAACATAAAGGCCTGGGAAGGAAACCCACACTCACTAGGCCTGGGACCTGCAGCCCTGTCCTGCAGGTTCAGGGCCTGGGCCTTTGCTTGAGAATCCCAGTGCCACTGCTTGCAGAGTCCTCTAGGACTGGAAAGTGCCCCAGGGAAACTCTCTAGGTTACCTGAGCTCCAAATGAGATGGTAGCTCACCTGAGACCCAGCTGTCAGGAAATCCTCATCCTCATCCTCATCATCTTCCTCCTCCTCTTCTTCCTCCAGATCCTCATCCTGAACATCGGCTGGACTGGGGCACATCTGTGGGGCTAAGGGGAAAGATCTCTTAGGGATCTGGGGACTTGGCATCACCACCATGGTCAAGTAGCTCCTGGGCTCCCAACCCTGGACTCTGCTCCTCTTCACCTGGTCAGGATCACATTCTCCTGTCTCACCACCTCCTCCATGTCTTTCCTCTTCTCCTCCTCTTCCTCATGCAGACCCCTCCTCCACCCTTGTGGCACTTGGTCTGGTCATCCCAGCCATCTTTGGCCCAGATGACAGGCAAGGACGCAGCTCCCAGGTGCTCCCTCTTCAAAAACTGGGCCTAAAGCCAGTTGTGGTTAACACATACTATAATCCCAACACTGTGGGAGGCTGAGGCAGGAGGATCACAAATTCAAACTTAGCCTGGGGAATTTAGCAAGTTAGCAAGATCTTTTCTCCAAAACAATAAAGGGCTGTGGAAGTAGCTCAGTACATGGACTGGTGCCAAACCAAAAAATAAATAAATAAGTAAAATGGGGTGGGGCAGGGAGATGGCTCAGTAAAACAAGCACAAGGGCCTGAGTTCAATCCCCAGTTCTGCCAAAAAAAAAAAAAAAAAAAAAAAAAAAAAAGATTTAGTATATGTTAAATAATACTCAAAAAAATCAAAGGGTTCTGTCACTCTA